TATCTGCCGCACAAGGTGCCGAACGAACGCCTCTTGTGGCGGCTCAGCATCTGCATCAGATTGTGATATGCCCGGCGTCGGTGAATGGGGAAAGATGAGGTGGAGGCTGCGGAGAGAAGGGGAGAGAAGTTCGAGTAATTGGTTTCCTTCAGCGCAGTCCACCGTCCAACGAAGGTATCGCAACTGAGGTAGGAGCGGCTGTCCCCGTGTCCAATCAGGTAATTGCCAGTTTTCGCTGTGCGAAAAGGATCGTCGCCTATGGCCATGTATAGCGCGGACGCGCCAAGCATATTGCAGCGCTCTGCTAGCCTGCTCCGGCAGGTAAGCCAGCTTCACAAGCTAGAGGACGGCGCGTGAGCCACCTTCCCACGAGCGTGTATGGCAACACTGACCGCTTTGTCGACGGGCTCCGTATGCCTTGCGAGTGGCTCCATGGACGGGAGTGGGGCTGCTCTGAGAAGGGTGATGAGATGGGACACATCGTCAACGTTGCGCCAGAGCAAAGCAGCGGCAGGGCGGAAGAACGCCCGACAGACACGGGAGCAAGACGCGAGGGTGCTCCTACTCTGCGCGGCGAGTTGCCTGGTGTACCATGACGATGCCTCTTGAGTCGTAGGGTCGTAGTCGTACCAAGTCTCCTCTAGATTCTCGAGATACTCGAAGATAGAGAAGAGGAGATCATAGCAGGTGAGGGCGTAGTGGGGCATAGCTGCTGTGAACAAGCACGAAGTCCTGAGGAGGGTATATATACCAGCAGTCGAGACGCCGTCGCGTACCACGATTAGGTGCGCTTCGTGCCTGGGGTTCGAAGACGTACCCGGGGGACGATCGACATCATCCGTGACTGAAGGAGGTTATATGTGATATCTCGGGGTTTGGCTCGGTGGGGTCCTCCGAGCGGAAAATGAGCGGGGGAATGATCCATTGCCCCGTCGCCGGTCGTTTCTGACCAGGCTCGCACCCGACCACAAGCTCCGAGCCGCGAGAGGTCGAGCACGAAGTTGGACTAGGAAAGATCATGACCGGACCCCCGCGCTGCGGAGACGTAAAACGACGTCAGGTGCATAACACTCAATGTGCACCGCCGAACCGTATCCACCCAATCTGGTGTGCGCACGTACAGGAGGGAGCGCACGGATAAGAATGACAATTGAGAGGCACTTTACCGTGACTTCGCTTCGGTGCATCCTGCGCGCCTGAGCAGTTACGGCTTGGCGAAAGGCGCCTGTGGCGCAGGTGCAGCTTGGAAGGAAGGGGTTAGACGTCCACCTGACGTGCAACAGCAAGGAACGCTTGAGCTTCGGTCTTGCACACGGGAATAGGACCCAGAGCATAAGACCTACCTGGATTGGGACAAGACCGCGACATTGTTTCCCCTGGAGCTCCCTAGGACATGAGCCAAGCCACTTGAGCAATCTAGATGAGTACAAAACTCCAGACTTCGGGTTGCGGTGTATCACCGAACCCGCCGCACTGCCTGTCAATGATAGCCTTTGTGTGTGTGGCCGATGAACACAACATTCTTGTCATTGCACAGAACTTGATAACGTATGTTCGGCCACGAGTGTGATAAGCGTGCCATGCAGCGGAGGGGTCGCCAGCTGTCACGAACGTGCTGAGCTATATACTTCACACAAGAGTAATAAGGATACAGGGCTCCCGTTAGAGCAACAGTGAGCAAGGAAGATGGCAGCCTAGCAGCACGCAGAGTATTGACAGTCATCGCAAGTCGAGAAGAGAGGTAAGTAAGCGCTCGATGTCAATCACATTGATTTGGCTGAGCGCTACGAGTCGCCGACTTCTTCGCCACACCTTGACATCGTAAGTATATACTACCAATTTTATAGCGCCCCACAAAATATCGCTGAATCTGATCTCGTTCGGCGTAAGGAATGCCTGCACTCGAGGAGAAAAGAACGTTTGTAAGCACAGGGACGCATCAGCCCGACACTGCAGTAGACAGGGTGCTCGCAGCCGCGCGGTCGCGTCCGTTCACTCAACAGGAAGGTACCTTCTGTGTGCAACCTTAAACCGCTGCAGCTAATGCTGACCTTTCCGTTCTAGGTTGATGTTATCTTTCCGTCCTGTCCTGCTCTCGAGGAGGGGCTGCTCCAACTGAGCGCGTCTTATTGGATGTGTCAGAGTTCACTGGGTGCTTTCCTAGAATGTGCGAAGCCATGGATACATGAAAGCCAACTGGACAGGTATGGCCTGCCGTAAATTTGACAGGAGCTATGCTCATAGACCTCGTTCCACAGCAAGATTGTAGCTCTCGGTGTAACAGGCAGCGGGAGCAACGACGTATGGTGTATCGACCATCGGGGCTACTTGACGCTTTCCCTGGGGAAAGAAACGTACGAACAGGTCGGATGCGTCGGGCAACCTCTGCCATGGAAAGAGTATGAAGATACGTATGGTATGTAGCAGCTTTGTGACTTTCACCATCGTTCTCGGGCTCACCGAATTCACCGCGCAGTGATACGGACGACTGTCCGTAGAGCATTCACCCAGCATGAGGGGAAGGAACTTCAAGAGGCACAGGCAGTGCGTAGATTAGACTCGCTGATGACGAACTGGAAAATCTACTACTACTTCGTCGGAGAAGGTGAGCTTGGCCCTTCCGCTGGTTATCTGCATCATGTCGCATTCTGACAAGTCGCAGCCACTCAGCCTTCATCTGGTCATACACAACACTCATTGACTGCAACTGTCCAAAAGCTGGCGAACGCATATATACCTGAACCTCGCTACGAGGCTCTGACCGCTCAGAGTCGCGATGAACCCGACGCGAGCAATGACTGGGAGGAAGAGGTAGCTGCGCTGTTCGAGTGGGTCGGCATGGCCGCCTTCGGGTCACCTAGGTCAGCTCCATATTTTCAGATGAAGTGTAGTAATGCTCAATGCGTACACTCGCAGACTTCTGGCCCAGGATCGCTGTGATCCATATATCGCCGTATATGCACCACCGGAGCCGCACCGCGTGGGCGATGTGACCGCAATCCGCTGGCGCGGTATCGTTCCTTCAGAGATGGTGCAGCGTATCTTATCCACCATCCGGTGTGTACTTGCGAATGTCCAACGCGAAGAGCTATGGCTGATGACTTGTTACGTCTCGCAGATCCTCTCGCCTTCCATTACCAAACTTCGTTGCGGTCGCCGGCCATAGCATCGGTAATGCGCCTGCGGCATATTTCCCAGAAAACAAGACGGTCGCGTCGTTACGTGCGCCGCGAGATGATGCAGAAGATACGTGGTCTCTGCTCCATGTGAACGAGCCCGACAAGGCCTGGTGGGTTCTGGCGGAGAGTGTCGGACAATGGGACAAACGATGGGGCTGATTCGATATCGAGAACCAATACCTCGAACCATCTTGTACAACCTTCGCAACGCAATGACTATCTGTCCATATCGCGTGACGGTACAGAAATACTATAGCATCAATATGATTACTCGACAATGCCTAACGTATGCCGATCTCCGAGGATGATGTTGTCGATGAGTCTTGTCTTGCCTACCCACATCGCCCCGCTCAATATCACCGGCTTCCCGGACACCGTACCCTCCCACTGCTGTCTTGTGACAGAGTCCTGGACGACGTCAAACGACTCAGGGTCGTTCATCTCGATATAGTCCAGGCGGAGGTCGACCGCATCACCGACTTCGCGTTTTTTGTTCTCGATGACGGCTTGCGCACGCTCAACGCACTCCGCCTTCGTCGCGCTACCCTCCCACGCTGTCTTGCCTGCCTGCAGCGCCGCGTAGAGCGCAGGCGCGACATCATCGCGTTCGCGTTCCGTCAGATACGCGTTCCGTGAGGACAGCGCTAGCGAAGTGTTGGGGTCGCTAGAACAAGCTTTGGTTAGCCTTTTGTACCGGCTGGCGGTCGTTACGGCGGAAACCTACCGTGCGGTGGGCACGATGAATAGGTTATGGGGCTCCGGGTGGGAAAGAAGCAAGTCCCGCGTCATCCGGCGCAGCAGAAGAGCCTGCTGGATGTCCTTTTGGCCAAAGTACGCGCGGGTGGGCTGTGCAGGCTGCCGTGAGCATCGCTCAACTTCCGGGGCGCGCGGAGGGGACGCTCTCACCTCGATTGCATTGAAGAGTTTGGTGACGACGGTCGCGACCCCGCGGAAGAACGTGGGTCGCGTCCTGCCTTCCATTTGGTGTCCGTAGCCCTTCACTTCGACGAAGGTGCCCTTCTGCTCTTGCGTGTTTTGAGAGATCCCGCTTGGATACATCTCGCTCACGGCGGGGACGAAGACCGCGGTTGGAGTCCGGACCCCGTCCGGGACAGTCACCGAGATTTGAGAGAGGAGCTCCAGGTCTCGGGGAAGGGTACGAGGATACGTCGCCAGGTCTTCGTGAGGCGCGAACTGAGCAGGGTTCACGAATATCGAGAGGACGGTCAGGTCGTTCTCCGCGAGCGATCGCCTCACTAGACTACCAAGGTTAGCGCACACCTCCCGCAGAACACGACAACTCGGGCGTACCGAGAGAAAGGTGGCCCTCGTGCAAGGCGCCCATGGTGGGAACATAGCCCACAGACTTGTTCTCGTCGAAAGCCTTCCGTCTCCACGCGCGGTAGGACGCAACGGTGTCGAAGAGCGGGATTGAGGAGGGTGGCAGCGAGGATGACATGGTTCTGCAGAGCCCTCTGGCGGGCAGCCTCCTGGTCAATATATATGACGCTGCCTTGCTTCCCAGAATGAGCATGGGTATCCCGGGATTGCTGGACTGGAATACGAGAGCGTCTGGAGGAGGAGAACGTCCGATCGCGCCATGGCGTGCAGTGGACAGGAGCAAAGTCGTTCGATCCGGCGCAGATCCGCCGCGTCGATCGTCCATGTCGCGCCCCACGTGATTGCTGTATACACATCCGCCACACCCCAGCTTCTCGCGCTTCTTGTAATGTTTGATAATCGCGCTTCCTCGGTGAAAGGTTGTTTGTACACTTCCATAGCACTCACGCAACCAACCGATTGCAATGGCAGAAAAAGAAACGACGGCAGTAGGGTTCGAACCTACGCTCCCAGAGGGAAACAGATGCTAGTCAGTGACTTCTATCACATGATTCTAATCTGTCGCCTTAACCACTTGGCTATACCGCCTTGATGTCGAGACTACCAGTAGCATACTGGTACAGCAGCATAGCCCAAGGTATATACAACACGTCACAGCAGCTGGCTACTCCAAATTGTTCAGTCCCATCGAGCAGACCTCTTCCGATTCGTACTATTCACTCTACACACGCCTACACTAATACTCCCGCTTTGCTAGCTGTCTCTCTCACGTTGAACTCTTTTCATTCAACAACTTGGTTTGGAGGACAAACTATAATTGCTTGCAAAAGTTGCCACTGGAAAGGATGGCCACGCAAGAACCGGCATCGAGTTCGCGGGCAGCTCTTGACCTCACATACGTTCTATGTTAGTATCCTCGTCGTCCAGCGTTGACTGGTGTACCCATCGTTTGAATTGACAGCCAAGGTGGCCAGACAATGAATCATCGTTCCTTTCGCACGTGCTTGCGCTACTCACACTAACACCTATCCTATTGAACGTGAGTCTCTTCATCTACAAGTGTCAGCAATGTCCCCTTGCTAATAGGTCGGGCGTACTCAAGCCCGCCTACGCGGCATTGTCGGTATGGACACGGGAGCTGTTATTCTTTGAGATGTGGGCAGGGCAGATGCTCTGCGAGTGCTTCAACTATGTCCTGAAGCATATCATCCAAGAGGAACGTCCGAACAGTGAGTGCGACCACTGCGTATTTCCTTGCTCCTTGTTTCTTGAGATGTCTCAATGCTGTCGTCGCAGAGGACTTGGGTGATGGCTACGGCTTCCCATCATCGCACAGCCAGTGGATGGGCTACTTTGCTAGTTTCCTCATCCTACATTTTACCCTCCAACATCGCTTCATAACTACCGGGTATCGCGTGCTCGACGTCGCGCGCGGCGCCCTTCTGTACGCGTTCATCATTGCTTGGGCTGGCGCAGTGGCCTTCTCACGGTGTGCACATGTCAAACGTCCTTCGTCTGTCGCAAGACTGACACATCCTCCAGGTTCCACTTGTCGTACCATACGGCCACTCAAGTTTTATGGGGCTTCGGCATCGGCGTAGCATTCGGCACCACGTACTACACCCTCGTCGAGTACATCCCAAGAAGGCGGCCAAACTCACTGCTTGGACGCCTTCGCGCTGCGTTGCTCGGGAATCCGCTCTCGACGTGGTTCCGTTTGAGAGATGGCTGGGCGGTGTGGGCAGACAGTGGGACTGAGGCACATTGGCTGCAGTGGAGGGAGGCATGGGACAGACAGCGGATGGGTGCGAAGAAACTGGCCGCGAAGGCACAGTGAGGCATGCCTAGTGACTTTCCGACGCCACTGACATTCCAGACATGTATGCGAATGTCGCGAAATGTCAGGCAAGCACCATCTCCGGAGCAGTCGGACCGCGCGTAAACAGAACATTTGTAGTCCCGTGTCATCGGACGAATATGTAAACGTTTTTACAGTTCGATGTCTCGCAGCAGTTCGCAGTGTACCACCCTTAAACCATGTCGAGCGATTTGATTTCATTGCGGGGGCATTCATACGTTCTCAAGTCTTGTCGATTGAAGATGCGAGGCATGGCGGATGTCAGCATCGTACCTTGACCTCAAGGTGCGGGCCAAGGCCATGTCAAATTGCCGGCGGTCAATATGTTTTATGCTCTCGGCATGATGATGCCCCAGGCTACCCCAGTGCGCGAAAACCATTTTAGCAGCGAACACCCCGCGGGGTTATCAGAGCGTTCGAGACGAGCGGGGACGATCGACATCGATTTCCTCCAATGGATGATCGTCTTTTGCATTGTACTTCGACGTAACCACATTGAGCTCTCTGCATGCTACTTTCGCACTCTCGCGCATTTGCCACCTAGACGACAAGGGTGACTTGACCAGTGATGGCAGCAGTCAGCGACGACATACGGCGCAAATGGCCGCCGCCTACGCCTATAGTATTAAACACCAAACTTGCAAGACGTGTTCTCATGCGCTGCGCTCGCCGTGACGGCATTCTGCAAAAAAGCGAAAACGTTGTGCCTGGATGGGCTCCCTGAGATTGATCTCTATCATTCCCATTGACGGAAATGGCACAACCCATGACCTCCATAGCTCGCCAACCCCCCATCCTGATGCTGACAAGTTCGTTCTGTGGCTCGGCGGCGCTGCTTATCCGGCAACGCAGCGCTTCTCATAAATTCTGGCGCGTCCTCTCCATCCTCCGCGCGACGACTCTGCCACCACCACCCTCGTCCGAGCCCCATCCAGCGCTGCCGCTACGCCCGTTCTCGACGTCGCCGCTGCTCCCACCATGTCACCGTCCTCAACAGACCCCGAGAAGGCACAACAGGCCGCCGACGTGCGCTCCGGGCCCTCGCCCGCTGCGTCCACGTTCTCGTCCGACGAAAAGGGACGCGTCTCCCAGGTCGAGCGCGCGGAGGGGGGCGGCGAAGAGCGCCTCCAAGCCCCGCTCTACAATCCCCATGTGGACGTGAGCGGGGTCGACGAGCGCAAGTTGATCAGGAAGCTCGACTTCTACCTCGTCCCGTGGTTGTCGTTCCTCTACCTGCTCAGTTTCCTGGACCGGACGAGTATTGGGAATGCCAAGGTGTGTACTCGAGCATCGAGCAGCCTGCGCCGCTGAGCGTCTTGACTTGGCGCCGCCATCGAGCGGGTACTGACGGTGTTCGTGATGAAACAGTTGTATCATATGACGACCGACCTGCACCTGACCGACCAGCAGTACCTCATTGCCCTCACGATATTCTTCTTCTCCTATGCTATCTTCGAGGTGAGCAGGGCAACATAGACTCAGCATACGAGCGTTTTACTTACGGGGCTGCAGGTACCGTCGAACGTCTTCCTCAAGCGGCTACGACCCTCGATATGGCTCTCGCTCCTCATGCTCCTCTGGGGCGTCATGATGGTGCGCGTCCCACCTCGTCCACTGCACCCGCGCGTTCTCACTTTCCCTCTAGACCGTGCAAGGTTTGGTGCACAACTACGGCGGGCTCCTGGGTGCGTTATCTGGTTCTCTCGGGAGTTAGTTCCGCCCGAAGTAGCAGCGTCTTACCTCCTTGTTTCCGTCCTCAGGCATGCGCTGGATGCTCGGAATGTTCGAAGCCGGCCTCTTCCCAGGCGTGAACTACTATCTGTCCTGGTGCGTCTTCCACCCGCTCCGCGCGCAGCGCGCCGGCGTTCTCGCGGGCTAATCATAGACCTCCTCCTCTTCCTCCTCCCGGGAACGCAGCTGGTACAAACGCTCCGAGTTCGGCATCCGCGCTGCCATCTTCTTCTCTGCGGCGACCGTGTCCGGCGCGTTCGGAGGCCTGCTCGCGGTACGTGCGCTCCCACATGCACGTCTTCTTCCGACCCAGGGCTGACAAGCTACCTTTGATTCACGTGTGCGTTATCCCCATCCGTCCCGTCCTGACGTGCGGCGGCGTATTCTCGTACCTTCACTGCGCACGGTGCCTCGCGCGAATGAACAGGCGGCGATATCGAACATGGACGGCGTCGGAGGCAAGCCGGCGTGGGCGTGGATCTTCATCATCGAAGGGCTCGTCACCGTCGTCGCGGGCTTCATGTCGTTCTGGATCATCCAGGACTTCCCCGACACTGCGAAGTTCCTCAGCGAGGCTGAGCGCACCGTCGTGGTTCGCCGCCTGCAGTCGGATGACCAGTACAGTGCGGCGGGAGAGAGCCTCAAATGGCACTACATTTGGCGCAGCCTGCTCGACTGGAAGACGTGGATCGGAAGTAAGTCGGATATTTGATGCCTATCCGTACAGGAGATACTGACAATGTGTGGCAGTGCTCTTGTACACTGGTGCAGATGGCCCTCTTTACGCGTTCTCGCTTTTCTTGCCTAGCATTATCAACCAGCTTGGTGAGTACACAGGTCGCGTCATTGACTTTGTTGTACTAACTGTGTACGCAGGTTACAAGGCCACTCCAGCGAACCTCCTCACTGTCCCGGTCTACGCAGTAGCTTGTATCGTGACCTGTGTGGTCGGCTTCGTGGCGGACCGCTACGGCTGCCGCGGGTACCTGACGATGTACGTACCCCCAAGTCGTTCTGTCCCCGCACATAAGCTCATGTCCGTTCCCAGGCTGTGCCTCTCCGTCGGGGCCGCTGGTTATATCATCCTCATCGCGTCGAGGAACGCCGCACTGTCGTACGTTGCGGTGTACCTCGCCGCTTGCGGCATCTACCCCACGATCCCGAACATCATCGCGTGGGTGTCGAACAACGTCGAAGGTTCATACAAGCGCAGTGTTTCTCTCGCCATGGTCATCAGTTTCGGTAACATCAACGGCGCCGTTTCTTCGAACGTGGTACGTATGTTTCGTGCAATTGATGCGTCGAACGACTCACCTGACTCGACATCTTGTGCAGTACCGGGCGAGAGACGCACCGTGGTACACTCTTGGCCACGGCATTGTGCTGATGTACATCGGTATTGGGTTGGTGATGTCGGTCATCTACTTTGTGTACCTGAAGAGAGAAAACGCGCGGCGGGAGCGCGGAGAGCGCGACGAGATCATCAAAGGCGTCAACGAGCATCGCACCGAGCTCGCACGGAACGGCACGTATGACAGTGTCGCGGACGCGAAGCGCGACAAGGGAGACGAATGGAGCGGGTACCGCTACACCCTATGAGTTGGGTGGGAGCTTGCGGGGCTTTCGAGATGCCGGGCGGGCTTAAGAGGAACTGCAGCGACGAGTCTCACGATCAGCATTATGTCGGATGTATACCTTACCATGCTTTTGTATAACAGTGTACAGTGGATATACCGCGTATATACGAGCTCAAGTGGCCCAGGATGGGCGGGAGAGCACTGGCGGCTGGGCAGGGCCGCTCAAACTCCTCTTGATCCGGGTCATGTGAACAGGGCAGAAAAGAAGAAAAAGGCAAGTGGCGGTGCGGCGCACGGGCCTGCCCTGAAAGCGCGTCGCGATCGAGAAGGCGAACGTCCTCTTGGCTTGTTCTCCGCCTCCACGTCGAACAGACAGACATACCCTCCTTCTCATCTCATACCCTCAAAAAGCTGCTCTAGCC